GGGTGGGGGAGGGAGGGGCGATGGCGCTGCGGGGCCGCGGGGAGGAGGAGGGAGCCGGGCGGGGCGGGCATGTACGGTGATGCGCCTGTGGGGGACCTCCCTGCGCAGGCGCGTCCTGGGGCACCGGCAGGTGCGGATTTTGAGCACAGCAGTTGTTGCCCTCCCTGTCCTCCACTTCCGCGACTTCACAACCCACTTTGTGCTGTCCCGGGCCTGGTGCGGCCCTAAGGACCTTGCGCTGCTGATTTTGAAAACAACCCTCAGCCATGAATAGATTCCTTGCCGGGACTCCACATTTTCTGCTTCATTTCCGCTTGGGGCGGTTACTGAATTGGTGCGCAGACGTGAGTAAACGTGGTACGTTTATTAGTAGAAAACAAGGACACCAGCAGCCTAGTGCCTCTCCAGTGTGGTTCTGCACGTGTGAGCGCGCACAGACACGCACACACCCCGTGCACCCAGCTGCAGCCGGGGTGGGATGCTGCCACTGGCACACACGACTGTTTAAGCATCTCTGTTCCATCAGCATTCTCCTTTCAAATTCCTCTCACCACGATCTCCGGAGACCTCTTAGCCACCAGATCCAAACATTTCTGTTTTCCCCTTCTCACTCTGCCACCTCAGCTAGAGGTGACCACCCTTCCTTCTTGAAACTCCTCATTGACTGACAGAGTCCACACATTTTTATGACTGTGCACTATGTGCCCAGCCCTGGGGACACAAGACAAACCCAGACAGGCCCCGCCCTCTCGGCCCTGCCATGTCGCCCCCATCATGTTTCTGTTCCAACCTTTCTGGCGATTTTTTCTCTGTTTTGTTTGCTGAATTGTTGTGTTCTGCCCACTCCTTAAATGCCATCACTTCCCGCAGTGTGTTCCTGGCTCTTTCCTTCACATTTGATCTGTCCTTTGGTTCCCAGGTGAGCTCACCCAGACCCGGGACTCTAGGGACCTCTTCTCTCCTGTGGCTCTGGGTCTGTGACTCTCCTTGGTGGTCCAGGGCCTCGGGCCAGCAGACTTGCTCTTCTTATACTGCCATTCGCAGTCCCACAGAAAGCAAAGCTCAGTCCCTGAATGTTAAATCATCTTTCCTCTCAAACTTGCTCATTCTCCTAGGCTCCCTGTCTTGATTGGGGTTTCACCATCACGTATGTCCAGCCAAGCTGGGAAACCTTCAAGCCATCATTCAGTACCTCTGTCACCCTCATTTTCCAAAGCCAGTCAGCTGTACCTCTCAAATCGCTCTTGAAGCCATTCTCAGCTCTCCCAGGGGATCCTAGTGCTGTTGGTCTGGAGACCACAGCATCAAACAAGCCTTTGTTTGAGCCTAAGTGCAGGGCGTGAGTTGGGTGCTCCAAAGCCAGCGTGGGGCTGGTGTGAAGCGGTTCCCAGCCTTGTTTGCATGCGGGAGTCGAGCTTGGAAAATCCATAGGTCAAGGCCGCACCTTCACCTGCCTCAGAGCCTCTGGGCTGGGATCTGACAGCAGGATGTCTTAAAGCGGCCCAGGCAGTTCACAGCGCAGGCAAGGCTGAGCCCTGGCTGTCACCCTGAGAGGCTCCACCAAGGAAGGAAGCTGCAGGGGGTTGTTGAAAAACTTCAGCTGGTCAGATTCTGGGGGTGGCACTGAATCCTCAGGCTTGGTGACCAGAGCCCGGGTGGGCCCGGCACCTGTGTGGACTAGCCAGGGCCCTGCCCTTTTCCCTGGCTTGTCTGTTACCACCTTAGCTGTGAGCATCTGACCAAGAAATGGGGGGCGGGGGGGCACCAGGTGAATCTGTCTGGTTATGCCTGGTGCCCTCAGGCTCTGGGTGTGGATGCGGGACTCTGCCTGGGGTGAACGCGGGGTTTGCAGTGTCCGTGGATTTTTTTGCCTGAGTCCCATAGACTTGCTCAGCCGCAGCCCCTGTGGTAAGAAAGGAGGACTCATGATTCAGTCAGCTGAACTGGGTTCGTTTTTTGTCTTGTTAACAAGTTGGAACGAGCTCATCTACAACAGTTGCCCTGCTGAGGGCCCATGACAAATCTGTTTTCTTTCGCTTCTCTTTAAAAATGTCTCCCAAGTTATTTCCTCAGCAGTGCTGTTGCTCAGCCTATATTTAGCAACTGAAAATCATGCTCAGAGACACTGTCATGCTTTCTGCAAAAGGCCTGCCCATCACTCCACACAGGGCTGCTAGCGGAACCTTCCTGCCCAGGAAATGAAGCCCTCCTTGGGGGATTCCAGAGCCCTGGGCTCCCGCTGCGGCCCGGGTTGCTGGCAAGGAGGGAAGCTTTGTCCCAGAAAATGTTCTTTCCTATCTGTTACTGCAAACTGATTTCGTCCCTGCGTCCTGAAGCACCACTAATGAATTTCTTGCCCCTGTAGATAAACCCAGGGTGAGTATTGCCCTTTAAATGTCAGTACGTTTGTTTGAGCTCTGGGGGCAAACCTTGTCGTCCACCCCTCTGCTGCCCCGGGCGCAGTACGTTCAGCTGGAAGTAGGGCTGAGCGAGGGTCGCGCACCAGCTGCCGCACGACAAATGGCAAATGGCGAACTCTCTTCCGCCTTCCTCTCAGCTCCCTTTTGACACCAGATATTTCTCAGGAGCTTGCATGGATGCTAGTCAAGTTAATTTCGAAATCAGAGTAATCACTGACTCATGGGGCCAAATGGCGTAAGTGGGGAAGAGGGTGCCTTGTCGGCCTCCCGCAGGCCAGTGCTGCACACGTGCAGGCCATCGGGTGCAGAGGTGGCAGCCCGGGGACACCTGAGGGACACCCAGGGGTCTGGAAGTGGTGAACGTGTTCTCAGGAAAGACTGACATTTTGGTGCAAAGATTTCTCAAGCTATGCAGAAGTGGTAGGATTGGCCGCAAACCCACTGACACTTGCTGTTGGCCGTGGAGCAGCCGCCCTCCTTACTGCGGCCTCTTCTCCTTTGCTGTCTCTGAGTCTGAGAGGGGTGCTTTATGGTGTCAGAACTGCCCACAGGCTCTGTTTGCCGCCTGGCACTTCTCAGGTATGCAGTTCTCGGGCAGCCCTCATGTCAGGGGCATCCTTGGAGCCCTCGCCCTCCTGCAGGCGGCTGGGCCTGCGGGCTGGGAGCCATTCCCTCAGCTGCCCTGTACTTCTGCACACCACACGACCGCTGCGGACAGAGCTAAAGTTCGCTCCCTCCTCCTGGTGTTCCTGTGGCACGAGACACCTACCAGTTCTGGAAGCTGGGTGCCTGAGATGGGACTGAGGGCAGGACTGAGCCAGGGGAAGCCTGTGAAGGCACATGGTAGTTTTAAAGTCATTTACAGGTTTCAGTACTAAGCACACTGATAATTAATGCCTGACAAAAATCAATTTTGTGTTCCATTGGAAACCTCCACTTGGTTAGTTGAAATCACATTGAACAGTGTTGCTGTGCTGCCACAGTCCTTCCTCTCCTGTTCGCACAATTCCTATACTAATTCTTTCCCAGTAAGAGTAACTTTAATTATCTCCCCATTTTGGATGCAAACCAGAGTTGAGGCTCTTACATAATGCTTGGCCTGACTTCCAAGAAAGCTGATGTTTTGCTCAAGCAAATGGGTAATACAATAATCGCTTGAAAATCTTGCTCTGATTTTACGTGGGAGGGCAGATTTAATCTTTCTTCTCTCCACAGTTCTGATGGTGTTTTGATGAATACCAGAAACACTAACCAAACTCACTTGGGCGCTTTCTTCCACGTGCTGTGTAGTCACTGTAACTGTCTTATCCATCCCATGCAGATGAAAGTGCTGAGTGGATTTTTGTCCATTTAATAGATAAAATGAATGTAACCAATTCACTGCAGAACATGACAGTTTCTGTGAACTTCAGTGCGTTAATTTCTAAGACTGATACATACATGTCATGTCTCAGACAGTGGGACCCTTGATTTCTCTTCTGTGTGATGTGCAGGGACATCATGTTGGGAGTGGGCCGATTGCCCAGGATGCTACAGCAACTTGAATAGTATCACAAAAAGAAGCAGTTTTTTCCAAGAGAAACCCCTTCATTTGAGGCTCAGCTGTGAGGTGAACGAAGCTACCTCACGTATTGTCTTGTACTTTTGAGGATCCCTACTCTTGTGTTTCTGTTTCCATTCTTCAGTGCTTTTGTCTTTCCTTTTCATGACAATTCTGTCTTCCTTATTTCTAATTGTTTTTAAATTCATTCACCGTGTACTTGTCAAGCACTGGGTCCTGGGGCTACATAAATGAATAAAATAGCCCCCACCCCTCAATGTTGTTACATCTTTAGGAAGGAAAATTACCAAGGCACACACCCTTACACTCTAATGTGCCTGGGAGAAAAGCAAACAGCTTGCTCCTTACGTGGAAAATCTGAGGCCCTGGGAAGCGTGGTGGGGAAAACCGTATTTGAGTACTTTATAGGTACAGATATGTACCTGGAAGAGCCAGGTGCTTCACAGAGAATCTTTTAATTCTCACAACTAAACCCTATAGGTATTCTCCCCATTTTGCAGATGAGCAAATAGGCTCAAAATGTGCCCTTTCGGGGCACAACCTTGTTAAGCAGAGACATTTTCATATCTGAGGAATATTTGCACCAGTACTCTGACCCCTCCCTGGATGGGCATCAGGGCTGGGCTAGGAGTCAGATGGGGTGGAGCTGCTCTGCACGTATGTTGGCAACACAAACAATGGAAACTGGTGATATGAGGGTCTTTTTAGGCCACAGCAAATGGTCTAGAACTCAGCAGTGGCACCAAGTTGGAGGAGGGCGACGATGAAACCGGTGGAAGAGGGCAGAGCAAGTGATGCGCTCCAGGCGGCCACCTCTTGCAACAGTGTGGCAGGTCCTCTAGCACAGGGCTGACAGAGCCAGGGTGACCGCCACCTATGTGGCTGCCGCAGTAATTAGGGCATAATGTGGCAGGATTCAGACTGAAGCCAAGGGGAGAGGAGGGACCGGATGTGGTATGCGTAAGGTAAACAGGACTTGATAACTGATGAGGTGTGGGATTGAAAGAGAATTTTAGAGACCTTGGGGAAATGATGGTGTCTTTTGCTGAAATAGGGGGAGGTGAGCAGAGCACTACCCTTGGGGTGTTTTGTTTTTTTTTTAACCCAAGGTTTCGTTTCCTTTTTTTTTTTTTTAAATAGACTTCAGTCATTAGAGCAGGTTTAGGTTCACGGCAGATTTGAGAAGGAAGAGATTTTCCATATACATATACAGCCTCCCCCATTATTAACATCCCCCACCAGAGAGGTCCATTTGTTACAATGGGGGGAGCCACGCTGACATCACAGTCACCCAGAGTCCACAGTTGACTCCAGGGTTCGCTCTTGGTGGTGTGCATCCTGTGGGTTCGCGCGGCCCTAGATTTCTGACAGGTGAGTTTGAGGGATACCTGGCAGAAGTCAGATAAAGATGTCCAGAAGACAGAAGTCAGGAGGGAGGTCAGGGCTGGAAATAAGAGGTTGGAGATGCAGTTACTATAGTCACTGAAACTGTGACAGTGGGGTGCCAGGGCACTGCCGTGTGAGCGCTGAGCAGGACGGACTCCTGGCAGGTATATTTATTCCCTGTGAACAAATGAAAATAAGAAGCAGACCTGCCTAAGAAAGAATATTTTCAGTGTTTGGGAGCAAACAGGTAAGAATTACATATTAGATGGGGCTTGAGACGGCGTATGTGAGCTGATTAACGGTATTAACTTACCGTTATCTTAGAGTTTGGAACTTTATGACCAAAATGTGATGGTTATACTTGGAACTTAAATAGACCAACAATGACAAGTATCTTAAAAGGTTTCTTTCTAGCTCAACTGAAACATGATCTAACACTTAAACAGAGCATCTGGTTCAGGGATTGGAAAACTTCTTCCATAAAGGGCGGGACAGTAAATATTTTGGTCTTTGGAGGTCATGCGGCCTCTGCTTCAACAGCTGGGCCCTGCCGTTCAGTGCCGAGCGCCGCCGACGCCGCCGCCGCGTGAGCCTGCGGTCATAGGGCTGGACCCGGCTTGTGGGTGGTTTGCTGACCCCGATCATGAGGACATACCTTGGCTCAATCCAGGCTGCCTTACCACATAATTTGCTAAAAATTAGAGCCTAAGAGCAATGTGTCCTACCCGTGGGCTCCTGTTCCGTCAGTGAACGGGAACCCACGGCCCCCGCGGTGGCAGTGCCGGCGGCCCCGCCCCCAGCGCTGAGCCCTCTCCGCGGCGCGAGCGCCCCCTCGTGAGCGCTGCGAGGAGGACGGGCTGCTGGCGGCTTCGCGGAGGCCAACAGGAAAACGGAGGAAAGGGACACAATCTGAGGCCAGAGCGCCTCTGACTGTGGTTAGCCCAGGAAGTACAGTGCAGGCTCGGGGAGGGCTGCTGGTCACGTAGCTTGTGGAACTGGGCAGAGCAGTTCCAGAAAGGGGCTGCTTTGGTGCTAAGCTGATTTCTTTTAATTTTTTTGACATTGTTTTCATTTTGGTTTTCAGGGGAGCCCTGGAAGCTTATGTTCAATCAGTAAGAAGCAGAGAAGGCAAAGAATTTGCACCAGTTTATCCCATCATGGTTCAGCTGCTTCAAAAAGCTACGTCTGCTCTTCAGTAATAACGTGAAATCTTTCCTCATCTCATTTTGTGCTAACCTGAACAAGGCTGGCAATTAAATTGTAACGCATTACTTCTAGAAGACAGCTACTATCTCCAAGTTTAAGACTGTAATTGACTTTCCTGTTTTTCTTACTGATCGTTTTGTTTACCTCTTAAACTCTTCCACCTTAAGTAGCATAAAATGTCAAAATTCATCAACTTCAAACTCCATGGACCTGATCTTTCCAGGACAGCCAACTCTTTTCTATGAGGTGGGTTAAAATTTCTTTCCCATCACATAACAAGAGTCCCCACTGCTTCTTAAGGGATATGATCAAGTTTATAGTAAAGATGCTTTTTTATCCTCACTGGATAAATGTACACAGCCTAGTGCTTTCCATACTTGGCTGCACATTAGAATCACTGGTAGCTTTATAAAAAAAAAATGATGCCCAATTTGTATCTCATATTAACATGCCTAGGGGTAGGAGCCAGGCATTAGTATTTAAAAAAAAAAAAGCATTTACAGCATGCAACAAAGTATGGGAACCACTGTCCACCCAGAGCTAAGATGTGCGGCTAAATGTTTTCCACGTGTCATACTGTATCTTTACTAAGGGTAGAGCAAGGTTGTCTTTACACGGTGTCATCTTATTAAAAGCAGACTTTCTAATGCAGATGCCAAGATAAAAATTTTTACGAAGATTCTTATCAATAGCTGATAATCTGGTTTGTTTTTCTATTGCTCTTGTTACTAACACTTTGGATTTTTTTCTTTTTAACTCTTTGAAGTATAGTTGATTTACAACATTGTATTAGTTTCTGGTGTACGTTAATATTTTGTTTTATTGTTTAGGAAGTGGGTTGTGGGATTTTTATGTATTTTCCCTCCCCTGAACTGTTACTCTGATGACTCATAAAGTTCAGTCACAATCAATCAGCAGAAGTCAGAGATAAACAATTTTCTTTCATTTTATTTGAAATAATATACAAGAATATAGTGTGCAAAATTTAGGGGCAACATCATGAAGTGTAATGAACTGAAATCAATTTTCCAGCTGTGATTCTAACCAGGAACACCACTTGGTAAGTAACATGAAAAGCCATGATTGTAGCTCAGAGCAAAAGCAGCTGTATTGCCAGTGTGTTTGCTCTCATTGTAGACAGTTGGAGGAAAGTAAAGTGCAAGTGTTGCACTGGAAGTGCAAAGTCTGCCCCCACCAGAGATATGATGACAAATACGATATTAAGATACGTGGCTGAGGAGATATAGGACACAAAGTTAAAAATACAATGGTGTCAACTGTTAATAGCACCATTACAGTGACTATATCCCAATGCTATTAACTAACTTGACCTTGGCCTGGGCTGGGTCGCCACCCACCGCAGTAAGGGATGGGTGCTGCCACCCAGTGCCTCAGCTCAGCGTGCTCTGGGACCCGCAGCAGGTGGCGCTTAGGTGGGACCCCGACACCATCCACCTGCTCCATGTTCTGGTCATCTCTTGGCACTGGCCAGACTGGGAGCCCCTGTGTTTGGCACAGACGCTGAACCAGGCGGTGGCTGCTCAAGGAAAGGCCAGCTCCCGGCTTCTGCTTCATTCCATCTTGTGTACAATACAGATTAATAAGCAGTAAGGAGCCAATGTATGAACAGCAGGTACATATTTTTATATTCCCCTTTTGTACAATTTAAAATAAAACATGTATACACTTCTCCTTCCTCTTTCTACTGTACTTTAGCACCACAGGATATCAATTTTCAAGCCTATATTACCTGATAGACATATATGAAGTTTGGAAGAAAAATAAGGCAATTTGGTTTACAATGTTGATAGTTTTAGCTTACTTAATGCTCTAATGGAGAAAGCAAATCCTCACTCGTATTATTAAATCATTGCAAGACTCAATGCTATCAGTATCTTATGGTCACACGGCTCCAGGACGAATCGTGAGACCTTGATCTTCTTAAGTCTTTCCATCAACAGTCAGTTTATGTGAATACAGACTTAAGAACATAAGCATCTTGGTTTAATGTTGTTGGGAGCCCTGTGGAGATAAAAAATTAAAGCTCAGTGAATATTTACAATACGTAGTAATTCTACAAGTGAAAGCAAAGGTGGATAAATACAATGTTTATAACCTTACTATTTAAAAAGATTGCCTTCCCAAAGGTGGTTTTTAAAAGTCTGCTAACATCTGATAGTTCAGGCATCCGGAAAATGTATGAAAATGATGAGACAAGAGAGGTGGACTAGGATGAGCAGGAAAGACGGGTGATCCAGGCAAAGTCCTACTGCATGGAATCTGAAGGTAATGGAGAACTTCAAAAATCTAGTTCAGCCACCCTCTTGTATTGGAATCTGACTACTTTTTAAAAAGAAATTCTTAACACAGACGTGAACTGCATGTTACTACACAGAAATGGGCACAAATACACAGAATGAATCGGCACATCCTTGGCCCCCTCCTGCGAGGTGCTGATGTCTTCCCTTTATTTTTAATGCTGTTTCACATTGAGCTCATTCTGTTCTGTCATGTGAAGCTGTCTTGTAATTAATAGAAAACACTTAAAATATGCTAGTCTACTAATGGAAAAGCTCTATCAATCAAATCTATCCAAGATTCTTATTATAGTGCGAACTTGTTTACCAGCCTTCCTAGGCCTTGCCATTTTTTTCCTTCCTGAGATTTTTCATCTAGAAATTCTGTACAGATGTCAGAATTCACCCCCATGCCTCCCTCCTCCTCAACCCATCACCAATTAAGAAAGGCTGCTGAGACGTACTGCCCCAAATTAGAAAATTCTTCTATTGTGCTATCAAGTTAAATAACAGCTATCTTTCAACCTAACTAGATATACTACATTCTAAAGTTCTCCACTTGAGCATCTCCAGACGAACATTGCTACTTTCCATGCGAAAAGAGTGGCATTAATGATGAAAAGAAAAGCAGTCCGCCTTAGATGGTGCAAAAACATGATTAGGTTTTGAAAGTGTGAAAAGGCTGGGAAATAGCATCAACCGGCCTTTAAAGGCTTTAACAGCTGCTGCGATGCACCAGGACAGCTGTGGAGATAAGTCAGGACTGTTTTTGTTGAAACATACCGAATTGGTTCTTTTCCTTTTCCAACAGTCAGGATTTAAACGCTTTTGTTCTTCAGCCAAAGCCTTCGCTTCTAATGTATACATCCTTCTCTCTTCATTCTTCATTTTCTTCCACCTGTCACCAAGGATCACACTTATGGCTCTGTAAAGTAAATATTTACACTTGCTGAAGGCAAGAATTTTTCAGAAAAGTCATTTCAAGTGCTGCTATTTCGGGAAGAAATAAAAGTTGAAAGACAACAATCTTGTCCAACATAGAGAAAGGGAAAAGGTCAAGGCGACAGCAGTCATTTCCAGTAAAGCCCCAAGTCATGCGGCCCATTCATCACAACCTTGGCAGTTAAAGCCTCCAGGAATAAGGCCATTATTTCCAATTGTCAACGGACATCTAAAATGGCTAAAAACTGGTTATTTTACACAGCTCAGATTTGAAGAAAAAAGTTAAATATTTCAAAGAAATGGTGTAAGTTAGTTAGGTCTATTCTGATACACTGGTTTTGCAAAGCTGTTTAAGCCGTTACGGCAGGTAACATTCAGTATCAGCAGCACAAAGTATTCACTTTCTACTAGAAGCTGTCCTTACTTGCTGGTTGCGCCCATAACCCACCAAGTAGTCATGGTACAGCTTTCTTCCTCCACGCAGCCCCAGTGAAAATGTACACTTACTGCTTATCTCCTAAGACAACACCAAATAAACCTTAGGCAATATTTATACTTAACACTTGAAGTCAAACTGGTCAGACGTGTGACGACTAATAGATATTTGAAACTATTTCCTATTTGTATTTATTCATCTGCCCCAAACCTACTTAAAATGTCTCGTCAAGGACAGGCAGGCACAAACTGTTTTCCTTCTGTGCAGAGCACTTAACCCTTAATTTCCTGACACTCAATACGAAACAAGGTCTGGGATGACTGCATGAAGTATCTACAAGTGATTTCACGATGACTGACATGGAAGCAAGAGAACAGGTATCTGAGCTTTGGAAAAAGACACCACAGAAGCTTTACTCTGTAAAAAGAAATTAAATATATAGTAAATACATGAATTTTTTAATCCAAAAAAGCTAATGCAATTAAACATTGCATTACACGTTCTTTTATTAAAATAAGAACCAGTTTTTATAATCTCTGAGTTAAAGGTACCATATAATGGTTGACACTTTTACTAGTTAAATCGAGTAAGAAATACATATGTATCAATTCCCAAGTTAAAGATGCATTTGGTTTAAGTCGCTTCTCTCTTTAAAATGTTAACTACTTGGGGTAGGGAGAAAAAAATGGGTGGAGGTGGTCAAAAGGTACAAACTCCCTGTTACAAGTCCTGAGGATGTAATGTACAGCAGGGTGAGTACGGTGAATCACCTGTATGGCATATTTGAAAACTGCTAAGAAAGTAGATCTTAAAAGTTATCACAAGAAAAAAATTCATAACTGTATAGTGATGGGTATTAACCAGACTTATTACTGTGATCATTTCTTAATATATACAAATATCAAATGATGTTGTACACCTGAAACTAATGTCATATGTCAATATATCTCAAGTGTGTGTATATATATTAAAAATTAAGATCATGAGTCATTCAAACCAGAATTCAAAACAATTATTTTATGTGCATCATCATTTGACTTTTCTCACGATCTCAAGAGTAAAGGGAACAAGGAAGAAGGGCAAAAGATCATTATAAAGTTCTCCAAGTTCATGGAGAACTTGGTTTGCGGGTGAGGAGTGGAGGATTCTGAGAGATGCGGTAAGGGCACCAGCGAAGAGTAGGAAGGGTTAGTGTTAACTTTTATTCCTGGGCTCTACTGAGGACACCTCTAAGCTAAGCTTAGTCTTTTGATAAATCTGGCAGTTACTACAAATCGCCAATGCCCACACAATTCACAGTGTGACACGGCTGTACAGCAGTCACCTCCGTGAGATCTGACCCGGGAAGGTGTTCGTCTTCTCCATAAAGATGGAACTGTCAGCTGTTAAGAGCTGTGTCCTCTAACAGGCAAATGGCGCCGTATTAATTTTAGAAGGCAGATCCTTACCTCTTAGCTAACTTAACCACCTGTCTAGGCATTACAAAATAATTACTCATGACCCTAAAAAGTCCACTTGAACTTTTTAAAGTAAACCTAGAAAACAAAGAATTCAACAATAAAAGCTACTGAAGTTCACTTAACTATTCCAGTTCCTATGAAACTGCACTTAATACACTGAATTATTATAATCCAAATTATCACTCTTCTTACCTGTTATCTTTCCCTGGATACATCTGAGTATATTCAACTCTGTATTTTTTGGCAAAAAGCATGAAGGCATTCATTGGTCTTTTGCACTTGTTAGGAGAGGTGGCGCTCACAGTCCCTGAGCTGTGGTTTTTGACAGCTTTTGTATACAAAGAACTGGAAGAGAGCTGTG